GTGATAATAATGTACGCCACTGTCAATTCTTCAGATCGATCAAGTCGGTTAAAATGATTACCCTTCTAATTTATATTCAGGATGCGAACACCTCGAATCTAGGGTGGGACCCAAATTACCTTGACTCAGATCTTCGCCGTCAGACAACCATATAAACTCTATAGCTTCATGCATGAAGCGATCTACTTTACAGATTCTAGAGGGTTCTGACAGTGGTTTTTTAACATGCAGAATTACTACGTTTTGGGACTTTTTCCATCATCCTGTGTTCTAGAAAACAGAAAACACGATCTGGATCTCTTCCGTCCTCAGGTGAGTGGGGAGGGGGAGACACCTATTCAATTGAGTCCCTGGACTGAGGTTAGCTCTTTCTAAGGGACCCAATTGTAGGCCGCGCCATAGCTCAAGCGGTTAGTCGCTGGCTTCTCACCGAGTTGGCCCGGGTTCGATCCCGTGTCTGGTCAAGTGGGATTTACGATGGACAAGGTGGCGCTGGGGCAGGTTTTCTCCGGGTACTTTGGTTTCCCCTGCCAATCTTCATTCCACCAATTGCTCCACAATCACCCTCACCTATCATTTGGGGCTTGTACAATAGGCCGCAGTAGAAGGGACTTAGTCCCACCCCTCTAACAATAAAATAAAAAGGGACCCAACTGTATAGGTGTCTTCACCCTCAGTCACCTGAGAATGGAAACAGACCTAGTTTCCAAAACGTGTTTTTGTGTTTTCTAGAATACCGGACGATGGGAAAAGTTCAGAAACCCAGTAATTCTGAGACCTACTTTGCATTTACAAGACTTAACGTCCATTAAAATGATATAGAAATGTCAGGTCGCACCTTCTGGTTTTCAAAACCTGAATTAATAATATACAAGAATAAATCGACGTTTGTTTCTTGGAAAGCAGTAACCCTCATATAACATTCAAGATATGTGTGTCCTGCTGCTGTTAGATTTGAGGTTCTCATGGCAAGGACTGCACATGCATGTGTGTTATTTAACGATGCTGTAAGTATCTTGACCAGACAACGTCGAATTACACGATGATTAATGAATGATGAATTAGAAAAAAAAATCGAAGAATGCATTCGTCGCTTAACCTGCAGGGACTGAGGAAAACCACAAGAAATAGGATATCCGGTATCCAGGCCAAGATTCGAAATCAGTTCTCACGAATAAAATTCTACAGCTTTACCTCTAGACCAGTCGAAGATGACTGTCTTCTCGAATGTGACGCCTTGAGTTAGGTAAAAATTTCCTGTCGTTTCGGATGAACGTAATGCCCCCATATTCAGGGTCGAAGAATGAACCAAGCAAGCAGCAAACAGAGCCTGCCCTCTTGTTAATTACATTTATGCCTTGAAGCTCTCACGGCGAGCGAGAGTGATCAAATTTTCTCGGGAAATCAGGCGCGTTGATTCGGATAAGTCCGGAGGCAAGCGTGAACCCATCTCCTCAGCATCCAATTTCTTCTTTCTTTACCTTGTACGTGGTAAGTAGGGTCAGGGTGACCCGTCAAGATAAACAGCAATCAGGCAAGGCGGGGTTGCATAGCTGCGCAACTACGCAGCATGCAGACTGGGCAAGAATCTAGTGGTTACAGCACTTTAAGGCCGCGCCATAGCTCAAGCGGTTAGTCGCTGGCTTCCCACCACGGCGGCCCGGGTTCGATCCCGGGGTCTGGTCAAGTGGGATTTGTGGTGGGCAAAGTGGCGCTGGGGCAGGTTTTCTCCGAGTACTTCGGTTTCCCCTGCCAATCTTTATTCCACCAATTGCTCCACAATCACCCTCCCCTATCATCTGGGGCTGGTACAATAGGTCAGAAGTGGCCGCAGTGCAAGGGACTTGGTCCCACACCACTATCAATAAAAAATATATTATTTCCCTTAATCTAATTACTCTGGAAATATATCATCAATTTTTGTTCGACCCCAAGTCAGGTCATATCTGAATTCTGGTGGACGAAGTGGCACAGGGCTGGGTTTTCCCCGAGTATTTAGTTTCCCCCGTCAATTATCATTCAACGAACTGCACCACATTCATTAATCATCCTATCACCGTCGCTTTATAGGCTCGACACTGACAGCGCTGTTAAATATCAAACCTAAAAATGAACATGACGAAAATGGCCGTTAACATACTGATCACACATTATTGAGAATTTACTTTTCAGAGGGTTTTTATTTCTAGCTGTATTCCTGTTACTGAGCATAGGGGCCTCCAGATGCCAAGTGGTAAGCTATGTTGCGAAATCTGTAAATAATTTCCGGTATTTAAGACAGAGTTAAGCTCCTAGCTTAATATGTTAAATGAAACCTAATTGACAAAGAGTATAATTGAGAACTGGAAACCACAATATTGTCTTTCTATTTCCATTATGATTAAAGAGCATTTGAGCTGCTAATACGACTTCGGTAGTGTGCCAATTGCACGCACTGACTTTCGTACTAACCGAAGGGTGCTTACTGTCCTGAAGGTTCAGTTCGAAGGCTGTTATCACACGTTTATTTTTTTAGACGTTGAAGGTCATAGTATACAAAGTAGAGACGTCGCCATGGTTCGATCCCGGGCCTGGTGAACTGGGATTTGTGGTGGACAAAGTGGCGCTGGGGCAGGTTTTCTCCGAGTACTTCGGTTTCCCCTGCCAATCTTCATTCCACAAATTGCTCCACTATCATCCTCACCTATCATCTGTGGTTGATATAATAGGCCAGACGTGGCCGCAGTACAAGGGACTTACTCCCACCCCACTTACTTACTTACTTACTTACTTACTCATGGAGCTGAGCCCTTCTGGAGGAGCCGCCAATTATGCAGCTGCAGAACCCGAAGGTTCATCACCGTGTCCACAAGAGCCCTCCACTGGTCCCTATCCTGAGCCAGATCTGTCGAATCCATACCATCTCATCCTATCTCTCTAAGATCCATTCTAATATTGTCCGCCCACCTACGCCTTGGTCTTCCCTGTGGTCTCTTTCCTTCTGGCTTTCCCTCCAATATCCTATAGGCATTCCTCGTCTCCCCCATTCGTGCTACATGACCTGCCCACCTCATCCTCCTTGACTAGATCATTCTAACTAGACTTAGAGAAGAGTACAAGTTATGAAGCCCTTCATTATGCAGTTTTCTCCAACCTCCTGTCACTTCATCTCTCTTCGGTCCAAATATTCTCCTCAACACCCTGTTCTCAAACACCCTCAGTGTATCTTCCTCCCTTAATGTCAGAGACCAAATTTCACACCCATACAGAACCACAGGCAAAATTATAGTTTTGTTTATTCTAATTTGTATGTTTTTGGACAACAGACGAGAAGACAAATGGTTCTGGGCTGAATGGTAGCAAGCGTTACCTGAGTTCAATCGCCTCTTAATTTCCTCCTTAATCAGGTTTCGATCTGTTATCCTTGTTCCCAAATATCTTCACTGTGTCACATTTTCAAAGCATCTGTTACCTGTCTATATGTCATGATTTTTCCTTGCATTCTGGTGACGAGACAGCAACATATACTTAGTTTTCACTGTGTTTATTTCGAGACCAACCTCGTTACTAGCAACAGTTAGAAGTTTGTGTGTTTTTGTTTATGGTATCTACATTATCACCCAGCACATTCATATCATCAGTATAGATCATCAGCTGATGTGTCCCGTTTATTTCAGTCCCACCTGGTTTTTCTGGACCTTCCTAATGGCATATTCTAAGGCAAAGTTGAAAAGCTCTGGTGATAAAGCTTCTCCTTGTTTTAAACATTCTGGATAGGAAATTTATCAGACAAATGTTTCCCTACACGGACTTTACTATACGTTTCGTTTAAACACATTTTAATCAACCTAACTAGTTTCATGACTATGCCAAACTCTATTAGAATATTGTACAATACTTCCCTACTGACTGAATCATAGGCTTTTTTTGAAGTCTATGAATAGCTGATGTACTCTCTCATTGTACTCCCATTTTTTCTCCAATATCTGACGAATGCAAAAGTTCTGATCTGTAGTTGATCTGTTACGTCGAAACCCACACTGATGATCCCCAATAATTTAATCTATGTATGGACTTAACCTTGAAAGAAGAATATTGGACAAAATTTTATATGAAGTTAATAGCAGTGATATCCCCCGATAATTACTGTAGTCAGTTTTATCAGCCTTCTTGTGAACTAGTACAGTAATAGACTCCTTCCACTGATGAGGCAATTTTTCCTTATGCCAAATAGAAGTAATTAGATTGAGTCCTACCTCACTAGTAATAAAAAAGTCAATAATTTTTCGGTCATGGTAGCCGAGCGATCTATGGCATGTACTGTCTTCGATCGCTCGGAAGCCGGGATCGTGGGTTCGAATCCCACTCAGGGCATGGGTGTTTGGTATGTGTTTATTCTGTGTTTGTGTTGTCCTATGTTTAGATAGAGGCCTTGTGACGAGCTGATCACCCGTCCAAGGAGTCCTACCGTCTTTAAAATGATCATGAAACAGAAATCAGCCCTATGCTCCAACGTGGGAGCAAGAGGAGAGCGAGAAATAACAGTTCTTACTGAATAATTGTGCCAAGCATTTAAAACGGGATTACTGTTATGGGTGTACAACACTATGTAGTATCACAACTTTGTGTTTTGCATCTCGCCCATTCAGGAGGCATTTGCGATCGGAAGGAAGTAGTCGCTAGAAATGATTGCTTCCGTTTGGCTTGGGTCACGACTGGAAAGGAAGAAATAAGTTTACAACATTCACCCCCAGCAAAGACATAACTGTGGCCTTAGGCAGCGGCTACACGAGAGCACAAAATACGTCCGTTGTAACGAACGTACTTTATGACGGACGTTGCTGAGGACACCACACAGTTGCAGAATGCAGTGGGTAGTTTTTTTCTGCGATGGAGCCAGAAGAAAGCGTAGCATTCGCCTCTCTTGTTTATTTCTACAACGGACGCATTTCGTGCGCTCGTGTTTAAAGTGGAGCTTACTGACTGAATTAACAAAAACCGTATCTGTGTGTTTATTGCAGGGCACGGCATTGTGCCACTCGCTGTGCCAACAGAAGCGACCGGAAGTTGCATCCTTCAGACGTTGGTCAACTGCAGCAGTGCCGATGACTGCAGTCTCCAGAGCAACTCTGAGCTTCGGTTGGTAGGATCGGTGCGTGACATCATCATACGGCCGGCTCGTATGTCGTACCGCCCTGGAGAAACAGGTAAGACGTCAATTCACCGCACAGGTTTGAATAACAAACGTCTTAACTTATCTATAGACGACTGATTAGCTGATCACAGTGGCCGCGCGATCTAAGACATGAACTGCCTTCGCCGGCTCAAACACTGGGATCATGGGTTCGAATTCCACTTGAGGTGTGGATGTCTGTGTGCGTTTACTGTATGTTTGTACTGTCCTGTGTGTAGGTAGCGGCCTTGCGACGGGTTGATCCCCCGTCCGAAGAGTCCTACCGACTGTGTAAGAAAATTAAACTGAATAAGTGGCCAAAGTCCAACAAAGGGCTGTACAGCCATAGATAGACAGACAGACGATTGATGAATATTAAGCTGTCAGTTCTGTTCTTTGTGTCGTTTGTTTAATAAGATGCCTGCATATACTGCCTATATATATAGACTACAGAGCGTTATATAGTAGGTAAATTGTAAATCTATCCCTGTAACATGCCGTGGAGGCCCATAGGTTTGTGAGACGTCGAGGCTTCTACATTTTCTAGACTATCGGCTCACAGATGGCGGTGAGGTTGTCAGCTTTACGAGCCGGATAACAAATAAAAAAATATTATTTTTGTACTTTTTTTTAACATATTTGGCCAGAAAGAATCTAGGTCAAGTATTAATATCTATCTATATGGCACTACGGTCCTTGTGTACCTTGGCCTCTTTTTCAGTATCTTAATCCATACACCGTCGGTGGGACTACTTGGACGGGGGATCAGCCGCTACCTACACTCAGAACAACACAAAGAGAATAGGCGCACACAGACTTCCATGCCTTGAGTGGGATTCGAACCCACGATCCCAGTGTTCGAGAGGGCGAAGACGGCTCATGCTTTAGACCGCGCGGCCACTGTGATCGGCCCAACTAGTACAGGCGAAAGATTCTAATGGCAGTAATAAAAGAAAATAACATAGCGTAATGTCATTTAAATTGTATAGTAATTCATAGAATTAGAATTTAACAGTATTACCGTAATATTTTTTTTTAAATTTAAACTGAACCGGAAGTGTCATTATTGGAGTCCTGAATGAAAGATAGTTACTACCATTTTTATCAGATTTTAAAACATTTTGTGATTAAGACTCCCGTTAGTGGACACTGTTATGCCTATACGATTTCTAGTGCTATCCAATTAGGCTACTGTAATACGTTACTGTAGAAGTGAATTGATCGGCAAGCCATAGAGAGCCTGTATCAAATTGGTTGCCTTCCATTGTGACAGAGTAGAGAGAACATAAGCAACAACATGATCCCGGATTACTACGCGGTTCAATACAGAGCCTGTTTTGAATGTAAATGCCGTCCCTCCATACAAGGCTTCCCTCCGGCTGTGACCCTGGATTTCGAAGACAGTGAGTGAGGGGAAATCCCTAAACGCAAAACGTTCCTTATAGCACGACCGTTGCATGTAACGGAAAGAGGAAAGCGAGATAAGTAAGGAAACAGCCTCAGTATTCAACAAATCATACACTGAAATGGGCCAAATTGAAATAAGAAAACAATATTTCAAGTATTTAAAGATGCTATTTAGCTACTTTAGAAGTTATAGGAGGGAACAGGTCGCCGAACCTAACATTTTTCTCACCTTTAATATACAGAATGTATCTCTAAGTTCTCACAGGGGTGTAAAAGTAATATATGCAATCAGAAACAATGAAGTGAAATCAAATGAACAAGGGTTGAAAAGAGTTCACTGGAACTATATTAGGCGCACTTATTGCAGAAACGCCAAAAGATAGCCATTAATATTCTATAGGCTATTAAAGTATTTGTTTTTACAGCATGAATCGAAATTTTGCGTGTTAACTGAAAAACAAATCGTAATAATGAAGAAGGTACAAATGAAGTTGCTTAAACGCTTAAATTCAGCGGGTGGTCTCGCCTGATCTGATGTCGGAGCTACAAATGAAGTTACTGAGAGCCAACGCTGGATATAAATTGATCGTAAGCCTAATGAATACCGGTCACAGTAGCCGCGCGGTCTAAAACATGAACTGTCTTCGCTCACTCGAACGCTGGAATCGTGGATTCGAATCCCACTCAAGGCATGGATGTCCGTGTGTGTGTTTATTCTGTGTTTGTGTTATCTTGTATGTAGGTAGTGACCCTACGACGGGCTGATCACTAGTCCAAGGAGTCCTACCGACCGTGTAAACAAGAATACGAAACTGAAGAAGAGGCCAGGGCCCAACAAAGGGCTGTAGGGCCACTGATGAATTAAAGAAGCCTGATGAATATGTTAGAGAAAAATCAGGAATAATGGATGCCAGTGTAACAAAAAAATAATATCGAAAAATGTATAGAATATTTAGAAAGACTGCCTGGAAACTGAATTCCGAAAGTGCTCTGCCGGTATGAACCAAAGGATAAATATCAGGGATTTCAACAGAATTGTGCCAGCTGCATACACTGCCCATCTCATCCTACATTACTTTATCGCGATGTTAGATTTCGGGGAAAATGCAAGCTACAAAATTTATAATCAGATTATCACAGTGGAAGCGGGTTCAAAGGCATAAAATATCTTCGCTGGCTCAGGCGCTGGGATAGTCGGTTCGAATCCAATTCGATTCATAGATATCTGTCTGCCTTTATTCTGTGTTCGTGTTGTCCTGTGTAGGTAGCTGCCTTGTGACTGGCTGATCACCCCTAAAAGGAGTCCTGCTGACTGTCTATAAGATTCAAATTTCAAAATTAATTACTTAATTCTGAACGGGCACCTGCCACAGATCCTAATCCGAAAAGGTAGAAGAAGAAAAAGATAGCCCTAATTATGTAATTCTCAATCTTCAAGATACTCTGGTTAGATACATTACGGCTTCAACTGAAATTCACTGTTTCGCATGTCCCGTGCAGTCTGTATCACGTGCTGTAACTCTTATCAGGGTGTGTGTGCGCTTTGGTTCTGGTTTGGCAATGCTTTATTCGAAACCCGTTCTAAAGCAGCGCTGTTGCCTTCCAAGCATCTTCCACAGAAGAGACAGAGGGCTTAGCCGCTTTTGGTGAAGACCACTGAAGCGCGAAACAGTCCACTTAGCTCACCTATTCTTGGCAGAAATAACCCTAGGCTTTTGACCCCTGAGTTCAAAGAGACTGTAGATATGAGCAAAATACTTGACGTAACGAAGGTAATCCAGAGCATTTTGGCGTAACAAGATATAACAAGCTGATGGAGGGAAATGCATTATGAGGAGCTTCACAATTTACACTCTTCTGCAAATATTATTACGTTGTCAGAGCATGGAGCGCCCACGCAAAAAAATGTTAAGTGCACACAAAATTTTAGTTGGGAGACTTGAAGGGAAAAGACAACTTTGGGATACAGGCGTGGATTGGAGGGTAATATTTAAATGGGTTTTGATGGAATAGTGCGTGAGGATTTGGGTTTGATTCAATTGGCCCAGGACATTGCGCTGTTTCGTTCTTTTTTTTTGTTTGTAATGACAAAATTTCGAGTTTCTTGTGAGCTAGGGAATATCTCAACAATTTTAGTGATCGTAAGCTTATCAGAAATCCATGAAGTTAATTTAGTTATTGAAGCCTATAATAAGAACAATGAGAATCAGTTAGCTCAGTCGTACTGCGATATCTCATGGGTTGGACTGTCGGGGTTCGTTTCCCGACATTGGAAAGATTTTCATCTTCTTCATATCGTCCAAACCATCTCTGGGGCCCACCCGGCCTCCTATCCATTCGGTACCGGGGGCTCCTTCTCTGGGGGTGAAGCGGCCGAGGCGTGAAGATGACAACTTGCCGTCTAGTTCCGAGATTAAGAATGGATGATCTATACCTCCACTTCCCCATATGTCATCATGGTCTAGTGCTTAGTTAATTAAGCAGAGGGACAACTTTACCGTTATCCCTTCAAAGTAATCACTTTGTTGCCAAGATAATTTAGGAAGAGTATAAGTAGTTTTTGGTTACAAGTCTGTGAATGTGAAATTTTCATAACACAAGAACTAACCCATCTGTCATTAATAGCTCCAATTCCTCGCCATGCTTTAATTCCTGAAATTTTCTCGCCGGTTGACTGGAAGTACACATGCGCACTTTCCGTGCGTATCCTGTATTTTTTCGCATTATGGAAGAGAGTTTGCCAGGAAAGCGATCTGAGTAACTGTCCCCATAAAACCCATAACATATAATTCTGAATAAAACCTTACAAAGCAGCAGAGCCTGGACGAGCCCTTCTTGACGTTTAGGAGTGTACTCATTCAGACGTGAATGATGTATCGCCCATGTTTCTCCTCTCTGAAATTACAGAGATAGAAGCAACTGCGGGAAAATAACCAGGACCTCTATACCATTTCCACATTATGACCTTGTAGCCTAACCGTAAAGGATATAGATGTAACTTTCGTCTAAAATTACATTATACTTTAGCCCCAAATGCATAAAATATATCTACTTACCTTTTTTGAAAGGTTTCGGCTAACTGTTCTTTCGTCAGTAATAAAATGTTGCAATGAATAGGAAGATAACTGCCACGCAGAATCTACAGTTACCAACACTACGTGGCAGAGGCCTCTGTGAGAAGCTTGTAGGAGAATTGGAAGGGACAGATGCAAGGAGAGATAGACATACGGATGTGATGACGTCATACACCTATATATTTTTCTACGCCAAGGAGAGTGGGTTAAACCTTTTCCCTATCTATCTATCTATAGCTCTACAGCCCTTTGCTGCGCCTTGACCCTTTTTTCAGTTTCTTTAGCTTTTACACTGTCGGTAGGACTTCTTTGACGGGGGATCAGCCCGTCACAAGGCCGCTATCTGCATTCAGGACTGCATAAACACAGAACAAACACACAGACATCCATGCCTCGAGTGGGATTTGAATCCACGATCCCAGTGTTTGAGCGGGCGAAGACGGTTCATGCCTTAGACTGCGCGTAAACTGTGAGCGGCTAAATCTTCTCCCCCACCCCCGAAGTTCTATCCTGAAGTCTTGATTATACATAATTTACATGACTGAAAAAACTT